TCAGGGTGTGGGTGTGGGTGTGGGTGTGGGTGTGGGTGTGGGTGTGGGTGTGGGTGTGGGTGAGGGGTGTGGCTGTGGCTGTGGCTGTGGCTGTGAGGTGTGGGTGTAGGTGGATGTGGGTGCGGATGTTGTCTTCTCTTCATCCACACCCACCCACACCCGCACCCACGCCCACACCCACCCACATACCCACACCCACCCACACCCACACCTACACCTACCCACACCCACACCGACCCCACACCCACGCCCACACCCTGAGAGTGCCTCCATAAATAAAACATAGATCAGTTAAGTAGATAGACAGTGCCACTGGGACCCAGTTAACTAGCACTATTGCATACCTAATCGTAGGTATCTTCATGGTATCCTCCGTATCTTCATGGTATCTTCATAGTATCTAGGATACCGGCTATCCGCTTTTTCCCCTTGGTTTTTTAACATCCCACTTTATCTCAATGGATAACGCGAGCAAATTCGTCCCATATCGAATAATCCAAGGGATTTAAATCGGGACTATTTGGAGGCCAATGATCTTTGTTAATGAATGCTGGAAAGTTGTCCCGACACCACTGCTGCGTTAAATGGTGAATGTGAGGTTTCGCACCATCTTGTTTCAAAGTCCATTGGTTTCCGAAGGCTAGGTTACCATATTTGAGTGCGATGGGATGCACTTCTTGAATGTATCTAGCATGATCTATCGAACCTTCTTCGAAAATACCCAAAGGTGAAACTCTCTTCGAACATACCCCCAACCAAACCATAACCTTTTGAGGAAACTTTCGTTTCTGTTGTATAGCACCGTTGGCGTCGGCTTTGGCACGGGATACTGCCCAAACGCGATCGTTTTGGCTGTTATAAATCCCATCTATGTCGAACATTTTTTTCATTGGAAAAGAGAAATCGCATTGTCTCTTCCTTACGAAAATTTGTTTGGATCCAGTTAGCAAATTTTATTCGCTTGCCTTTATGGTCATCAGTGAGTAACGGCTCGGATATCTTTTTGTAGGAACGAAGACCCAGATCAGTTTTGAGTATTCGTTGAGCACTCGTTCTCGAAATATCAAACTCATTCGTCAACTTCCGAGTTGAGAACGATTTTTTTTTCTGTAACCGTTTTTTATCTTTTCGATTGCTTCCTTTGTTCGAATCATACGTGGGCACCCCGGTGGACAAGACAGTTGTATAGAACCCGTGTCCCGGTTCATTTTACACCACCTTTTAATCGTAAGAAGACAGAGAGCACTACTAAGATCACGAAATATTTTCGTTGGACCCTCGCCTTTTTCATACGTTGAAAAAATGTTCTTTTGAAGATCTTTACTTTTCATGATTTTCAGAATGATGAATAAAATTGATTAGAAAATGAAGCATTGGTTCTTGTAGAGCGGCAAATGATGAAGATTTAAAAAGAATTAGTCAACACTAACGAAATTTGAACAAGATGTCGCAGAAATACTGAGTTTAACATTTATCCTGGGCCACCCGTTAAATATGTATATTTTATCTATATTATTACAATAATAATAATCAATGATACAACATATTGCGGCACCTCCAGTAACAGTCACGAACAATCAAATTAGATGTTAACTGTCGTTGAATAAATTTATTAAAAGTTGTTTAAAAACGATTTATAAAACAAATTTAAGTTCAAAATGATCTTCGATGAGACATTAAGTTAGCAAATTTTTGATGCTTTACGATAATTATCTCTTATTTCTTATACAAACGACATTTGATCAATTCAAAAGAGCTATTTGTACCTTTGGTGATAATTTGATCAACATTTGATCAACTCAAGACGAGTACTTATTAGTCTTGTTGATATAGTTTACTAGAAACTGTTAAGAGTTATTAAAATGAATTCGATCAATTTAAGAGAGTTGGAATTATCTCTTTTACAAATAATATTTGATCAATTTTAACAACATTTTCTTTAAAATGGTTTTCGATGGGAAATAGGTTTTACTATACGACAAGAACGTCGATATCGAGTTGCCGATATTGATATTATCAAAACAATATTATTTGTTAAATGTCACTAAAATAATAAGATCCCCTCTTGCATGTAAATTTTAATAATAAATATATCTAGTTGACTTCACGACAATTATCTCTTATGCAAATAACATTATAATTGTTAAGAACTATCACAAATCGTCAAGAAATGTTAATAACTTTTAAAGAAGTACCAAATGAAATTTTTAAAAGAACTTCAATAGCAAAGAATTCTTATTCACTTTCAATAATTTTTCTTCATTAATATCCATTCTATTATCTTTGTTTTCAATTTTTCTTCCTTTTTGCCTTTTCCTTGTTTAGTTAATTATTATTTTACTATCTAAATTTTTCTTTGTGCTTTCAAATTGTACTGTAGAGCCCTGAAGAGTGTTTCTATTTCAATAAATAACACGAAACGCATCGGCGAAATTAAACTCTGCATTTATTTAATTATTTTAAGCTGAAGCGCAATATTAATATTTGAATTATTTCGACTTATTCGATTGCTGAACAGCAAAAGTTGAGACTAGCAGACTGAACTTGTCTTTTCTTCAGAAGATAGGGTTAGTCTGTTTTCAACTGATACACCGACACCCCAACATCTTACATGACAGAATTCCTTATCAACTTATCTTTAAATGACACGTCACTGCTTTGCTCCTATTTAAAGCAAACCTTTGTCAAACACATGTATGCGTTTCATGTCCAAATAACATTGTAGAGAGGTATAACATGAAATTGTTGGTATGTTTATTACTCTTTGTTCTTTCTAATCATTTGGGACGAGCTTCACAACCTTACTTCCCGTCTCAAATTGTTTTTTCTCCTGATAATAACAAAACAATAATTGCAATCGATGAAATTAATCAACGAGCATATCTAAGACTCGATACAGATCCTGAATCAACAGATATTGCTTATGTCATGCAACATATGCCTTTCGCTAAACCTGACTCGCCACAGGCAAATCATTACGTTCAATTAATTATAGTTAAGAAAAATAATATTTGCTCTTTTGAGACATACTGGAAATATAGTTCAAATTCATTTGGTTTATTCCCATTACATTGGGGTAATGATAGTTCATATCGTATTAAAAACTATATGAATTTCAACTATGTAATGATTCATTCAACCAATTCAACTGGAAGTGAAGATTATTGGTATACAAATGAAACATGTCAAACTGATAGTGGCGAGACTTATCGATGTCAAGAAATATATTTTATACAAAATACAAATATCCCAATTCGATACTCTGAAGTTCATCTTGTAGAAACAGACATTATTCGAGAAACAAAAAATTTTACCATTCATTCAATTGGTAAGCCAAGTGACAAATATTTTGGTCCAATTCCAGAAAATTGGTTTGAAGTCTGTCGAGATGGTGATCTTGGAGTGTCATATAATCCAAAAGAAATAATACTAAAATTACATGAAAGTGTCAAAGTTGAAGTTTGGCTTCCTGCTCCTCCACATCGAATTCATGGAAATGATACTGTTACTATTCAATGGAAACCATTTGCATGTAGCGGCTGTTTCACATGGACACCAACGAAATTAGCTTTTAATGGTAAAAATTTTCAAGAAAAACAAATCTTAACAATAACGCGTGTCGAACTTTCAGGAGAAACATTTCTTATTCCAAATATTAGAGGTGGTGGTTATGACAATGTTCCATTTTACATTTATACGTTACCTATTTATTGATTTACTTTTTCTTTTGTTCTTGTATATAAAATCTATACAGCTGAGAAAAAAATAAAACATTCGATTGGTGTCCTATGTTCTGACTTTGATAAAACGATAAGCTGTTTAATTAACAATATTGCAAAAATGAAAATATATCTGCATTTAATATCATTTTTTACGTAGTATTACATCGGAAAATGTCTGCAGCCCTTCTTTTCGCCTCAGATTGTATTTGCTTTTAATAATTGTCTAGCAGTAATTGCAATTGATAAAATCAATCAAAGAGCGTTTCCTTCACATTGGACTAATGGTATTTCATTTGAAGTGAAACATTATATGGATTTTAATAATACAATGATTCATTCAACAAATTTGCTTTAAAAAAAAAATACAGATATTTCTTTACAGTCAACTGAAGTTCATTATCAAGAAGCATCAATCGTTCAAGTCAAAACAAATTTCAGTGTTTTATCCATAGGAAAACCGGATGATAAATTCTTTGATTCTGTACCGAAAAACTGCTCCTTACATGCCGAGATATGGGCCTTGGAGTTTTCTATCGTCCCCAAATAATTAAAATAAACGTCAATGAAGGTGTAAATATTCAAGCTTTCCTTTCTAGTCCTTCACATCGCATTAACGACAATGATACTATTAGGCATGCACCGAACCCGGGAACAAACCGGAGTTCCCGGGTTCGGTTATTCCCGGATTCGGTCATTCCCGGATTCGGTCGTTCCAGAGTTCGTTTATTCCCGGTACTGGGATCCCAGGTTTAGTCATTCACATAATTGTTATAACAATTTCCTATTATATGAAGGTACCATTGGGTCCTCAAGTCCGGCAGTACCCTTACGTCCTCAAGCTCTATTATATGAAGGTACCCTTGGGTCCTCATCTCCTATCATATACAGGTACTCATATGTCAGCAGAGGAATGTAACAATCCTAATACTCCCAATACCAATACGATTTGGTATTGGTGGTATTGATAGTTTGCAAAATAACATCAAAGTTGAAAATCTCGAGGATGGGTGTGGGTGTGGGGAGTGGGTGTGGGTGTGGGTGTGGGTGGGTGTGGGTGTGGAGTGCGGGTGTGGACGTGAGTGTGGGTGTGTATGGATCTTTTCTTTCATCACACCCACACCCACACCCCACACCCACCCACACCCACACCCACACCCACACCCACACACCCACACCCACACCC